TTTGAGAATTAAGATTTCATAATTTTGGACAGCCAAAATTGTATATATTCTTCTATATATATGTGTATATATATATATATATATATATTCTTCCTCTCTTAATAAAGCATATACAAAAAAACTTTTACCAATTCTCTCTAATTTTTTCAACTTGCTTATTATTTTAGAAAGAGAGTGGAACAAAAAATGAATGATCACTATCCACAATAAAACAATAAGAATTACAGTATTATGCACACCTTTTAAGACTACTAAAAGATTTCAATATAATTTACTAATGAATTTTTCCCACTATCTTTTGATAAGTACATTAGGTCGATTAGCTGGTGAGCGCCTTTGGTATTGACAGCAGGAGAATTACTTGTCAACCGACAGCTTGAATTTAGGGAAGAAATACAATAATTTCAGTCATATAGATGAAGCATGTGAGATTGTTTCCTCGAGGAATGACATTATCAAGACTGTACTGGAACTTTAACGGCCTACCAAACACAAAACTTTAGGACAATCCAAAGAAACGCTATGTACATACCCATGGTGATCCGACCCGACTGTGAAAGGACTTTTAGCAATAACCAGGAGAAGTGGAATGCAAGTTTCATGAATATTTAAACTAGTCACTTGATTCAATTGGAAATGGCTTCAATCCACTGGTCTTAAGCACCTTCACTTATCTACTAACGCACAGAGGCATTGTTTTATTCTTAATTTCTATTTTGTTTCGGAGGAAGTGGACAACCAAAAGCACAAAATCCTTACAATTAAATGAAAAACAATTGTTTATGTGGTGTTTTTGTCATTCATGAGATCAGTATATACTACCTGCTCGAGATGGTAACATTCTGAAGAAATTGCTGAGTACCAAAGGTAGCTTCCTTCTGAATCTCGGATGCTACAACCAAAACAAGCCTGCAACAAGAGTAATAATCCTGAACGACATTATGCAGAGCACTACAACTACGAATAGCCTGGTTGCTCTCCGCCATTTCATTTGCTGTGCAGAGATTGTGGAAGAAGAAAGTGGTGTTAGACAGAGAAAGGGGTGAAGTGAGGCGGGTGGGTTTTTTTTTTAAATCTGAACCGCTTTTTAATAATTTTTGGATCGGTTCAGCAGATTTAAATTAAAAATATTGCGATATTTACTTCCATTTGGAATCCAACATAAAATTTTTTTGACAAATTAAATAATATTATATATCTAAATTAATGACATGTAACACTTGTTAAAGATGTTAATGCCTATTAATAAAAAATTAATTTAAATATTTTTAGAAAATAATTAATTTAATATAATATAAAGAAATTAATTTGAGTATTTTTTTTTAAAAGAGAAAAATTAATTTAACATAAAATCAGATATAAACAAAATTAAACAAAAAATTTTGACATGATATTTGATATGAAAAAATAATAAATTAAATAACATTATGTATCTAATTAATATTACTTGACACATTTGATAATTAGGTTAGTTGTTATTAAGAAAAAAAAATATAATTTCAGTATTTTCTAAAAATTAATTTAAACCTAAAATTAAGATGTATATAAAGTTAAATAAATGATAATAATGTAGATAAACAAGTTTGTATTTTAGCCTTATAATATATATATATATATATAACAGATTTTTGAAGTGTTTGAATTACAAATCCACAGAGAAAAAGTAAACTGCGTATGCAGAACAAAAAGAAACAGACACTGTGGGGCCCAGTCTCAGTGTCAGTGTATTGGCTTGTTACAGTGAATATTTGATTTGATTTTATGACACGGACCTTTCTATTCTCATTTCCTCTGCCCCTCGTTTTTTTCACCAGAGATTTTCTTTTTTAAATATAAATATTTCAATAATTAAATTACACTACTAATAATAATTAGCCACCCCTTAATACATATTTAAATTTTAAATTTATGATTAATTAACATTAATCTCATTTTTAAATCAAAGTTTAAAAAATTTTATTTATAACGTACTGGCCCTATGATAGTGACTTAACCCGCCTACTCAGACTCAAAGATTCTTTTTCCAAAACCAATTTTGAAATTCGAATTCTCTTCCTCAAATCATCACTTCGCTATTATACAACTCTGCAACTGTTTAAGTGCAGAGACGATGGATAAAGGAATGGCAGGACTGGAAGAACGATTCAACAGGTTGGTGACAGAGGTGGAGGTTGAAGAAAATGAAGCCGGTGATACCTTCGCCGAACGTGCCGAATGGTATTATCAGAAGCGACCTCAACTTCTTTCCCTCCTCCGAGACCTCTACGATGCGTATGTCATTCTCCTGAATCGCAATCGTCAAACAAACATCGTTTGCTCCGACCATCTTCATCCGGATGGGGAACTTGATGACGACGTGGCTAATTCAGATGCCGAGAGCACTGTCTCCTACCAGAATGTTCCTACATTGGAAACCGGTTCAGACATGGAGGACGTGGTTGCTCAGCTGGTGTTGAAGACGGTGGAGAATGTAATGTTGGTGACGCAGCTGAGAGAGATGGAGAGAGAACGGCCGCTGGTTAGAGAATCGTCGATGGAAAAAATGTCGGTGCTGGAAAAGCTGGTGGAAGTGGTGGAGTTGGAGAGAGAGATTGTTGAGAAGGAGAATGTGAGGTTGGGATACCAAGTGACAGCGCTGTTGGAGGAGAACAGAGGACTGGCGTCTGAGGCGGTGATGATGAAGAGAAAAGCTGGGGAGCTAGCTAGGTGCTTGATCGCCATGAGGGAGGATCATGGAGTGTGTGCGTTGATAAGGAAAATCGAGCATCTAGAAGCTCAGATTCATGGTCTAGAGAAGAGGAACCACGAGTTTTACCGTCAGCTGCTGCTCAGGAGGCGTTATCCACGGGTGACCAACAATAGTAAGGGTGAGATGTCTATGGCTGGTTGCTTTCAGGTGAAGGAGAAGAAGGTATCTTCTTCTTCTTGGTGGAAGAAACTGAAAGACATGGACATGTTTATGTGCGGGCTGCGTCCCTGATATTCTGCCTTCATGCTTCTTCTACTCACTCCTGCAAAACATGGTATACTACTCCTAATACTAATTATTACCGCCAATTTCAATTTCATCTCTGGTTTCTGGTTCTGAGTATTCTGCTCTTTACTAGTTAAGATGATATTTCGAATTTGATGTTTTGGCTGATGAATTTCTGATTTCATCTTGCTCGGCTTCATCATCATCTTGATCAACATAATGTGGGTGTGGAAATTCATTTTGCATGATGGGCACTGATGATGAATCGAGATTGGAATCGGAATCTAAATTCTACTTCTTTGACTAGATAATTGTGAATTGAAACGACTCAGAAAATATATATTAAATTAAATTTTATTTCTATATATATTATATAGAAGATAAGCACAATATTTACCATCAAGTACAGTTTCTATATCCTTAATATTAATTTGACAAATAAACAAAAAATTAAATAAATGAATTTCATGGGGGAATACATTTAGAAATGACTTTTTATGTTTGTATTAAATGATTATATTAATGGAAGTCAATTAAATTATCTTGATTAAGTCAAATTCAATTTGAATTAAATTTTTAGTTTTCTATAAATGCTGTTATATTTTACTCTTAAAATGTGTCTCTTGTCAAATGAAAGTTATGCGGCAGTATTGATGTGTCACACTTGCAAATTTAGTACTTGTATTAATGTTTTTGGCCGGAACAATTTAACCTAAATTTGTGTGTGTGTGTGTGTATATGTATGTATATAATTATATATAATCTTAGAAAATTATGTAGTCTCTTAACTATGAGTGATATTGCAATTTATTCCTAAAATTCTTTTTTATTACAATTAATGTTTAAATTTCCAAAATTATTTGAAAATGCAATTTATTTAAAAAAAAATGAAAATGCAACTTTTACTAATTTTTTTTTTTTTACAGAAATAAAGAAATTCTTCCTAAAAATTTTGATATATTAATAATGAATAGTCATGAGTTAATTTAAAATGAAAATAACTATGATGGGTTTAATTCTAGAGAAATAATGATTTTTGGGTAAGAAGAGATGGGAAATTGAGAAATTTTGAGAAACAAAAGTAGAAGCTTGGACATTTAATATTGATGGTATTTTGATATTATTAGGAAAGAAAATATTATGTAATTGATCGGTTGAAAACATGAAGAAATATCCTTTATTTCTTTTGAGAGAGTAGAGAGCCTTGCATACCATATAGCATCAAACTACAATCGGCAAATCATCAGATGCTCAAACCTTACATCTTATGATTGAAATTCTGCAATAGATGAACCTTACATTTTACCATAGAAATATTCCAACCAATTTCAGAATATACAGCTTATTGATTGGTATTATTCTTTGATTAAACCGTGTAAATTTTGAAATAGACAAATCGTTTTAACAATATCGGCTTGACGTCTTTAATGTATAGCCTGAAACAACAAAGGGTGGCTTGATTGATCTTATGTTTACTTTAACTGGTGGTAGATTTCGATGGTTATTTGAGAGGCAATTTCTATTGACGATGGAAACAAAGAAGAAAGAAGGTTTATTTCTGGAATCCTAATCATGTGTTGGTCAGGTTTTGAAGTAGAAAGCATATATCATCTCTCCCTTCCTCAAAAACTAAACTTCTTCCTCAACTCTCTGTTTTCTTCTTCTTCTTCTTCCAGTTTTCCTCTTCCACTTACCTCTTCCTTTTTGCACTGCAACACTGCTGGAGCTTGCACCACACATTGTCTCATCTTCCTCTACCAGTCTCCCAGCATCTACTTCATGTCTTCCTCTCCCTCCAATCTCTTAATATCCACTGCATCTGTTTCTAGTCTTTGCATATCTTCTTCCACGTCAACTCTTCCAGCCTAGTAAGTCTTTCATCTCAGCCTTTTTATGTTTTGGCAAACTCGTTTAAGTCAGACCCGAATTTCAACAAAAACCCATTAGACTGAAAATAAATTAAATGAGTAAATCCGTATGAAACTCAATTTGGATTACGATTTTTTGTATTAAAAGTTAATTCAGAGTTAGAGTTTTTATAAAACCTGACCCATTGATATCCCTATCCCTAACTTCCATTGACTTAAAGTGCTTAACATGAGACAGACAAATATACAAAGCAGTGGGTGTCCAAGTGAAAACTCCTTGGCAAATTTGTTTCACTGCGGACTAAGAGTTGAAGTCATTAGTTCTTTAGCAGAAATGCCATGTCATGAAAGCCATATATCTTAGCAAAAAACCATTAACAAGTTCCAATAAGATCTTAAGACTACTCTTTTACAAGAATAAGAGCCAAAGCAAATCGCAGAAAAGTAAACAGAACATAATTTAAACTTAACTACATAAATTAAACAGTTAAAGCCATTTACAATGAGCTTAAAAGTGTTTTCTCGACATATAAATCAATCCAAACGGGCCCTAATTTATTTAGTTATATTCTATTTACTTCTTGTTTTTCTGATAAAATTTTGTCAGTTCAGCTTTACTTAGGATGCATTTTCTCTTCCACCCTAATTCCGAACCTTTTTTTTTTCTTCTGAATCGATTAATTTGAAATGAATTGTTTTATAAGATTTATGATTGAGTTGAATATGAACTAACATACATGGATATCAATAGAGTTGCTTCAATTTTATAAGAAAAAATTCCTAATATAGCAAGTTCATCTGCTATTGTTAGAGAAAAAAATGCACTAACTGGTGCTACCAGACAGATCGCCAGAAACCGCGCTGCCGTATGAGGCTGACCCTGTCTGTGAAGAAGAAACTCCTCGGGCTTTCTGAATTTGCCGTATTCTGAATACATCTCTCGGTAACGGCTGGCTCTGAACAGTCGTAGTTTCATCCTCTTCTTGCCCTGTCAATGACAATAGGACCATCACTTAATATAGTGTATAACTCAAAATTCAAGACAAAAGAGAAATTAATATTTCCAGTTGCAAATTCCTGAAAATTTGTTTACTTTTACCGCAATCTCATAAGTACATCGAATAGTTATTAACAATTAGATGATCAAAGTGGCAAGATACTAGCACCTGGTTGGCAATTAAAAACTGCAATCAAAAGGTTCATATACAATGTCAAGCGAAAATAAAATTGCATCAATGCATAAATATCTGATGAAACGAACAACTTTAAGTTGAAATACTGTTTTGACGCCTAGCTAGTCAGAGCTGAATCATGTGATGCCCTTCAAACAATGAAATAAATTGTCAATTTATGCCAAACACATTTTGGGTTTGAAAAATGCTCTTTTTATATTGGATATAGTTCTTAGGAAGCAAAGCTTAAAACCACATTTAGTATTTCTAAAATGAATCCATCAGCACAAATCATATCTGCTAAGAATGATAAACCTACTGACTAGATCTTTTCTTTTTCCGGATTGCCTGTCCCTTGTTAGTTTGAAAGATGAGGCACTTGGAATTAATACATTTTGCGTTTGAAAAATGCTCTTTTTATATTGGATATAGTTCTTAGGAAGCAAAGCTTAAAACCGCATTTAGTATTTCTTAAAATGAATCCATCAGCACAAATCATATCTGCTAAGAATGATAAACTTACTGACTAGATCTTTTCTTTTTCCGGATTGCCTGTCCCTTGTTGGTTTGAAAGATGAGGCACTTGGAATTAAAACATTTTGGGTTTGAAAAATGCCCTTTTTATATTGGATATAGGTCTTAGGAAGCAAAGCTTAAAACCACATTTAGTATTTCTTAAAATGAATCCATCAGTACAAATCATATCTGCTAAGAATGATAAACTTACTGACTAGATCTTTTCTTTTTCCGGATTGCCTGTCCCTTGTTGGTTTGAAAGATGAGGCACTTGGAATTGGATGAGACCTTGTTGAACCAGAGAGGTCACTTGAACTAGGAGCTGGACCTGCTGGCGTTTGAGCTGCTGTAGTAGTTGACTTACCAATCTGTCCTAATGGAATGTTGCTCTGTAAACAAATTGATAATACAATATCCACATTTGGTGTCGGACCTGAAAAGGTTACGGCACCATAAACATTAAAAACGAGGACAAAACATCATTCAGGGACAGCAAAATAGCAAATCATTCATTTGAATGACACAATTTTACCACTAGGAGAATATTGCATGTTGAGCTGCATTCTTATTCATTTTTTTTCGAACAGATATGACAAAAAAATATGTTCCATATAAATTTGGGTATATAGGACACTGATACTATCACAAGAAAATATGTTCCATTAAGAGTGTGCCAGCAAAGGTAACATCATTTGGTTGTGAGTGATGTCTAGAAGACAACTTTTGGCAGCAAAAGCTAAGAATGGATGGGATATGATTATTGGGAAGACATTGAATTTGTCAACCATCTTTTTTTTTTCTGGTCCTCATGAACTAGTCGAAACGGAACTTACCTTGATGTCTCTTCACTTGTTGGTCATTTGATTCTAATGGAGTTGCAAGCGTGCTGGGATTCAAAGAGATTGAAAGAGCTACATATTTCCTTTACTTATATTTTTCTTTTTTGTTTCCATCTAAAAAGAATTTTTCTTCTTTCGAGCAAGAGGAATACCAGGGCTTTGGCGGAGCAAGCTCCAAGCTTTGATCCTAGATACATGGACAAACACAGTACTCTTTCTTTTACAAGTTCCCCCCTCCTGTGCTGATTTAGTACATATCCCTGTAACAAATTTTGTATCGGGTACCTCCTTGGTACCCTTTGAGCAGTAATTTTCTTGTAAAAGAATGCCTCCATTTATTTCCACATGATCATATCAACAGTAAGAATATGTTTACTCGGAATTTATCATATGTACATTGTGTCCAATTTCCTTGTTAATTAAGTTTACTGACGGAAAAGCATTATAATAACTAAATCAAATAATGTTGAAATGATATCAAGTAAAACTGAACACAAGTCTGAGAGATTACCATCAACAATAGGCAAGTTTCCTAAAAATGCTACCAATGCAGGTGGTGCCGCTTTCAGTATATCATCAACCGTATGGGTTGATTTATCATTCCCTATTGCCACCGTGGTATTAGAAAAGGTGCTGGAAGCAGCAATTCCAGGAGCCATGGTGCTTGGAGGCATTGCAGGTCCTACAGTCAAACATTTCCACGCACTGAGCAGTGAAGAACGACGTATGCTAAAATAAACCTAAAAATCCAATAAGATCATCATCCATGATTGAGAAGTTAAAACAATCCATTATCCTTGTCCTTCAGACAACTCAAGAAACTCGAATTCTAAACTAAGCACCTTTCGTCTCCTTTATATTTAAATAGAGAAGTACTAATTCTCAATCCTAGTGAAATCACCAAAATGAGAGGTATTTCTCTTCCTTATATCAACCCTAAAACACAACCGACCATAAAATACCAAAATATAGCCAATTACCAATCAATAAAGAATATAACCAATTACCAATCAATAAAAATATAACCAATTACCAATCAATACAAATATTATGATGAAAATGGCTTTGATTAAGCTTCAACTCACTCCATCCGCTGTTCTGTGAGAAATCCGAGTGTGGTACATCGAAAAGACTTCTGACAAGAGAGCTAAATCTTCACAATTAATTTATGGAAAGATGCAAGCAAGGAGATTATAGATTGGGAACTTAAGGAAAAGGATCACCTAGATTGAAGCTTACAACTAATCTATGATGAGTATCCCACCATGAAGGCTCAGGTAAGTAAAAAGTATATGATAGAAGTTCTAAACAAGCCAAATCAGAATTTATTGCAGAAAGGATAAGTTTTATTGTAAATGGCAACAGTTGACAGAAAGAGCAGTGCAGCAAAAAGTTCAGAGAGATGCTAGTAACTCATCATATGGAAGAAGAATCCAGGAAGCAGGATAGAATATGCTGATATTCATTTCATAGTGTTCTTAAACATTGACATCTAAGAAGATATTCATAGGTGGAAGATCATTATCTTTTAATTCTTTGGATCAGTGAAGCAAGGAAGTATAACAAGGATTATTCAGTAATCTGATTGATTGTGTAAAACAATTTTTCTTTTAATTCTAATCAAATTCCAAATATCAAAGAGACACCATTAATAGGAGTATGAAACTCCATAGGTAAGATAAAATCTACAAATTGTCTCATGTTCACCCTTGAGCTGAATCCCTACAGACCCAATTACCTTAAATTTTCATAATCTATTTATAGAACTCTCTGTAGGTTAAAGATCTTGAAAAATATCAAATCATCTTTTCTTGATAAGGCAAGATTAAATTCATTGACGCCACCCAAATACAAAAGAAATATACAAAAGATAGAATTTACAGGTTTCTTCTATTGCGAATTTACAAGGTAATAAAGATTTCAAGGGTGTTCTCTAATTCTTCCGCTGAATTGAGTGAATGACCCTTAAATAACAAATAAAAGTTTGGAACCAAACATCTTGAATTCTGTCAAAAGAATAACAAATATCCTAAAAGGTTCTTCTATTTCTTCCTTTCCAGATAATCCAGACAATAGCCAAATAGATGGTAGAAATTTTTTTAGAGGAAGCATGAAAGAATAATAATTAACAAGGCACCAAGGAGGTACCACCCAAATACAAAAAATTTACGAGTTAGTCAAATATTCATTAGATCACCTAAATCATCAGGATGACCCCTTAGACAAAAAACTGAGAGTCTGGAGCCCTACATCCCAAACTCTACTAGAGGGAGACTCGAAGCCTTCAAAAGCTCTTTTCTTTTTCTTCGAAATAACCCAAAAGTTTACTAGAGGAATAAGAGAGATGAATTTTTTCATGCAACTATAACTCCAAATACCTTGCCACACCCAAATGTCTTTTGCCACGGAGCTTGGCATTACCCAACTCAAACCAAGGAACTCAAGGGTTGAGCACCAAAGACAAGAGGAGAAAGGACTCAATAAAAGAAGATGCTCCAGAGTCTTGGCTGCCTTCATGCATAAATAGAACACATTTGATAGAATACATAATTTAACAACCTTCTATATGTTGTTACATAGAATTCCACCTCAAGGTGGACCTCTCTCTATTGTATAAATAAATATCATCAATGAATTAAAACTTACATAGCAAAGCTATGCTGAAAACTTTACATGGTATCAAAGCTGATACCTCCTCCTTCCAAAATGAGTTCTATCACAGAATCTTTCATTTCATCTCCTCTCTCTTTTATTCTTCTCAAAAGCCCCTATCTCTGTATCGACACCTCCAACATAAGAAATAATATTAGCTAGACCATAAACTTTAGTAACTTCTTCATATAAATCCTTATTCATTCCTGTTTCCCAAGGATATGATATGCTTGACAATATTGACAGTATCAAGGAATGGTCCCCATTGATAATCACTGATTATGCAGAAAAAAGAACAACCTAATGCAGATGCCCTTATGAAAACAAGTGGATTCCATGGTTCTTTCTTAGAACCAGGTCATTGTTTCTTTTATATCCTTTACACCCTCCTTAAATCCAATAAAAAATCTTAACCCCCGTAACACAGGACAGGAGATTGGATAACTTTTTTCATGATATTGCACATGGCTGACTGCTCCATCTTGAATCTGAAGTCTACAACATCAAAAAAATGATTTGTCCAAAGACTCTTATCTCCAGAAGCTAAAAAGTTTTTAAGATGTACTAGTTTCTATAGATCATCATTTGTTGGAAGAGGATCTTGTACACTAGACAGTTGAAGGCTTTCTATTGACAATGAAAATATTGCCATTCATTTAAACTCACATGAAGACTCTTCATTATTCATTGATCTACGGACTGCCCTTCACTCGCAGGAAATACTCCTTGCTAAACACCAAAGACCAGCGAACATATATGATACATTAGAAAATAACTTAATCACAACTAATATTCTGCTAATTTTTAGTAATCTAAACAAAAAACCAATTCTAGTAAACTCCAATTATTAATTTTAGATCCTGGCATTATCTTCCCCATGAAGACATCCTTGTTTTCAAGGATGTTTATTAGTACACACAATAACCCATTCCACTTCTGTTTGAAATTGAATTTGGTCTCCTGTGATATTAAATTCGTTTAACCTTTTAATAGCTTCCAAGTTTATTCAAGCACCATTGCAAATAATACGAAATCCTCCTCTTCTAATAATATTCTTTGATTTCCTTAATGGCAACATATGTGAAAGCATGAATTCCACCTTGATCACACTTGTCCCAGAAAAAGGATAAGTATGGAAAGGTGGCTGATTATCACCCTATCAGTTTATCACAATTGTGTACAAAATTATCTCGAAGACTTAGTGAGGTTTTAGATGGCACTATTTCACTAAATTGGAGCACCTTCGTGGATGGTAGACAAATTACTAATGCATAACTGATTGCTAATGAGGTGGTTGAATTCACTAGAAAAACCTCAAGACTAGTTTAAGACCTTGAGAGGTTTAAGACAAGGGGATTCTTGCTCATCATTCTTGTTTACTATAGTTGTCGATGTGTTGAGCAGAATGTTGTTTAAGGGAGCGGATAGGGACACGGTGAGAGGAATCAATGTAGGAAAAGATGCGGTGGAGGCTTCTCATTTATAATTTGTTGATAATACAATCTTGTTTGAGAGCATTTCATGCTTGAGAATAAATCTGCATAAGAGTGGGTTTATTGGTCTTAACCTTGAGGAGGAGGTGATAAACCATCTAGCGGCATTCATAAGGTGTTATAGGTTATCATGGACCATATTCAACTTAGGTGTCCCTTTAGGGAAAACCTGCGAGGAGGAAACTTTTGATAAGAAGTGGAGAACAGAGTGGCTAGACAATTAGAAAGTTGGAAAAGGAGATTGTTTTCATTAGGTTGGAGGGCTACTCTGATTTAGGCTTGTCTATCTAGCATTTCTATCTACTGTTCTGTCTCTATTCTGAATCCTTGTGGGGTTGCTGACAGATAAGAGGGTCATATGAATATAGATTTTTGTGGGCCAGGACAGGAGAGGAGAATAGAACCATCTTATGAGTGCAGAGGTATGTTGTAAATCTAATAGTCCAGGAGAATTGCGAATTGAGAATCTTAAATAAGAAATAAATTTCTACTGGCTAAATGGCTTTTGCGCTTTTCTCGTGAACCAAACTCTCTTTGGCATAGGGTAATCAATAGCGTCCGTGTTAATGGAAGGGATGGCTGGGACGTCATAGCTGCTAGTTCCACTACTTACTGTCGTCCTTGGAAGTCCATCTCCCAGGTACAACCCATGTTTGCTCCACTTACACGATTTCGTTTAGGAGATGGAACTAGAGTGTTGTTCTTAGAAGATACTTGGATGGGGAACCAGCCGTTGGCAACCGAATCCCCTTGACTTTATAACCTATCCAGTAGACACAATGCCCATATTTCCACTTTTGTTTTGAATGCTGAAGGAAGTGCCTCTTGAAACTTTCACTATAACCCTCGCCCATCCAAGAGAGAGATTCCAAAAATTCTCTCTTATTGGACTTGTTGGAGCGTATTCACCTTTCCTCTCAACCCAACACCAGAACTTGAGTTCTTGAACCTACTGGAACACATGCAAATCTTTCGTTGACCATATCACTTAAGGACCCCCCTTTAGCCTATTTTACATTGCCAAAGAATTTCAGAAAGCTCTTGTTCCGTTAAAGGTTAAGGTGTTCTCATGGATTGCTATTCACTAGAAGCTCAATACACATGATATGGTTCAACTTTGTCGACCACATCGAGCCCTATCTCTATTCATTTACTTCATGTGCTTCGGAGTGGAGGGTAACCTTTCTAACCTATTTTTACATTGTACCACAGCTTGGAAGTTTCGGACAAAATTGATGAATTTATTTCAATTGAAAAGGTTACCTCACCAAATGTGGACAATCATCTTTATTCTTCTATTTGCCAGGATGGGGTGCAGAACAATGTAAAGCTTCTCTGGAGAAGGGCTTTATTCCTTGGGCTATGGTGTTTATGGATATCTTGGAATCACCAGATTTTTAATGACTATTATACATCATTCTTTAGTAGGAAAAGGGCCACTTTCTTGGTAACCCTATGGGTTAAAGCACATGAATACTATCATAACATTAGTACTCCATAGGAATCAGGAAGCTATTATAAATAGCTCAGAGGGTGG